TGGTTCCTCAGCCTGCGCACTTCTCTTTCTAATGATCATTTATCTGTGGTCGTTATCAATTTTGATCTCAGTAAAGCCTTTGACAAGGTGCTACATAGAAGACGGTAAGTTAAATTAGGCGCTCTGGAAATTCGCGATCCCCTTACTGGCTTTATTAATTGATACTCATATAAACCTAAACAAACGGTTTTAGTGGGATCTTTATCTTCCAGTGAGAGCCCTATTGAGGTGATGTCCTACAAGATATCGTCTTAAGTTTTCTTTTGTTTCCTCGGCAGTTAAGTATTCTCAATCTTCTATTTTCGCTGATGACCTTAAATGCGTATATTCGTCCACTAAATCTACGACCCTTCATTGTCAGGAGCAAATGCATGATATCTCGCTTGTTCTCTCAGCACGGGACTCAAAACGGCTGATGGAATTCTCTGCATCCAAATGTCGCTATATGCGTCTTGGACCTGAAAGGCTACCCCAACCAGTGGTCTTTCAAGGCACACCTACGGCTGAATGTGTCACCATTAAGGACTTCGGTTTGAGCTACTATGGTACTCTAGATCTCTCGACATGCGTCGAGTGAACTATGGCCAAAGCTGTCCAGATTTGTGGCCTATTTTCTTGCAATTTCTATCTTCCTGAAATTAAATTAAGACTTTGTCGAATGGTTGTACTTCCCATCCTTGAGTATTATTGTCCATTTTGGTTTGATGAACGAGGCTAGTTGTTAAAAATTGAAAATACTCAAAGACATTTTACAAGAAAACTCTAAGGTACAGAACATTCAAATATTTCCTACTCAGATCAATGCCAGATAACTAACCTAACACTTTTTATGTATTCGAACACTAGAAGCAGGCTTTTTTCTCCTTTTTCGAATTAATAATAGTTTGAATCTTCCTCGAATTTCAGCACTTACCCTTAGTACTCGCCCATACAATCTTCGCAATTCTTTTTGATCATACCCTCCTCCCTTCTCATCCACCTCTAGGCGCTCTCTTTTTTTCGCTTTCAGGTATGCTTTCCTCTGGAATAACCTTTCAATAAATATGGGATCCTCAGATAATCGACACAATTTTAAGAGAAGGTAGCATGTTTGTCAGAACACTGGCTCGATCAAACTTTTAGTTTCCTTATTATTCTCGGACAGCTTTCTATATGATTCAGATAAAGGGTTACCGGGAATTTAGGATGACGCTCACATTTCCATCTCTTGTCTGTAATATCGCTTCCTGGCATCCCTCATCCGAAATGTTATTTTTTTCGATTTTTAGGTTCATGCATCATGCTCCCGACAGAATGCGATACCCTTCCTGGTAAATTCTCTCAAAGAAATACGATGGATAGATTGGCGTGCCCGCTCTAAGCCGCATCAGTTTCTTCGGCCACCGACACTCATCAGAATTCCACTCTGACACCCGCGATTTCGAACCCTCACTCTCCCATAGTTGAATTTCGCGGTTTTTGGGGTCATCTCCTCATTTCGACTCCAGGCTGTCTATCGGCGTTCTTTACTGAATCCTCTGAACCCTCTGCATTGTACATATCTGCATATTGTATGTATCGCTCATTCTTAAAACTTTTGCGATTATTTGTCCTTGGAACTCAGGTTTTTTAAAACTTAAAATAAGCTCTCAATTCGCGCTCTATTGGCTAAACGGACGCCGAAAACAAATGAAGTCAAAGGTTATTTCCCTGTGTTCAAGGTAGACTGACGGTGCCCAAGGTGCGCTATAATAAGCCTATTCTATAATAAACCTATTGTACTCGCCCTCCACTTGTAGTTTGGTCGCTTCTCCCTTGCCCCCTCCTCGACTGGTCTCTGAGCGGACCGTGACCGATCACGTCGGGGCTCTTCTCGTCCCATTACTTTGACGTAGATAGCCTCATCCCACATATGAATTCTGTTTTGATTATGCCTGTCTCAAACCTCTTGCTCAATACCGCATTCGGGCCAGTCCTGTCTGATTCGCATACGTATTCCTTCATGAAATCCGTTATGCACTGCCACATAAAGGTCGACCCTGTCCACTTTTTATCGTTTTGTGAAAGACAGTTTTCTTCTCCTATAATGTTAATCCAGTCATATTAATTTTGTTCATTCGGTTGCAGTTTTGTTCACTGCCCGCTCATCATTCTTCGTCACAGACTGCTTATTCAGTAATTTACGAACAAATTCTTGCATAGATTTTGTCTACCTGTTCCAAACTTCATATGAAAATTTATTCTTGCTTGCCACGGTCGGACTCCCACGCGTCTTGAATAAAAATTATTTATTTAGTTACGGCCAACCGTTCGTTGCCCTTTAAGTATGAATAGGTCATTATTAGGACGAATGTGACAATGAAACCTAGACCGCGGGCTCAGTAAAATTTAACGAAAAATATGAGAAGAAGGTACACATCGGACACGTCGTTCTCCTCATCCGACAACCCTATTTTGATATGGAATCGCCAGCTTCCTGTCATGGAAAGAGTTCTTTGATGTTGGATTTGCACAACGCGTCATATTATAAAAACTCCATGCATGCTAAAGCCCGAAGGCAAGACCGTTGTACACGAATCGCTGTGCAAGTGAGGAGTGCGCCCCAAAAATGTAACATATTAATTTGAATGGCCTTTTAAAAATTATCAAAAGGGGCGAGAGATTCAGTTTACAATGTGACCAAATGGTTACTATTGCGAATTTCGATCAGATTAATGCTGCTCTTACAAACATGATCAAAAGTCAAGAAACGGTAGGTTACTCTCCGAACTATCAAAAACTTGCTAACGTCAACTAACTATCGGAAATATCCCCTACACAGTCAGCCCAACACCAACAATTAAACAACGTTTACACCCATGTGGCTTAAGCCTCCGCATAGCTTCTACCAGAAGACTTTATTCAAAAGTAAAAATAAACCCGTCTCAGTAACCTACTCACAGACCGAAGCCGATGTAGTCCTAAAAAACCCTGAATTAAACGAAAGTCAGCGGAACCTTAACGCATTCATAGGTCCAGACTTAGCATTTATGCAAAGACGTAAAATTCAGGAAAATGACATCGGATGTAAACACGACGACCAACGTTCAGCTCCCTCAAATGGACCTCTAGCAAGTACTTCTTATTGTGGCACTTAGAACAAGAAAGGCATAACCCAGCTTCAACAAAATGACAAACGTGCCACTTCCTCGGATGGATAGACGGCGAATACTCCTGACTCTGACACTTATGATAAACAACGCGTAATTGCAAAAGCCTTTAGAATAGGAGGGCGGAAACAAATCAAGGGAGCACAGCAAGGCACCGACACCCAACCAGAACAGAACGACGACGCAGATCTCGGATCCAGTCCCGTGACGCTAATAGATAATAACATCAGTTTTACTACGACGCCCAAAAACGATCAAATAGTGGTAGAAATTTACCGTAAAACAGCGCATACAGAACTACGAAGGCGCCCTAACTCTGTAGAACGTTGGTTTCAAATTTTAAGATAAGTGAACGACATTATTTTAAATGGTTTGTCTGAGAGACTAAACAATTATAGCCCCTGTACTTTTGTTTGAGTTTCTTAGATACAGGCCTATTCACTCAGAACTACCGGTTACCATTTCCTTTTTGAGTTCTGTTAGTCTGTGCCTGTTGACCACCAGTCAAACTCTGTAATTCGCATTTTGTACATTCAATTTCTCTCCAACTATGTGATTTTTTACATCGGTATCCCCTAGCTGAAATTCAGTCACATGGTCTGTCAGAAGTTTTCTTAACTACAACTTGCCTCAAGACAAGATGAAAGTAAAAGTCACAGGTTGGCGAAAGCTCTCGGCCTCTGTATCTAAGCATGGCTTAACTAAATCTAAGCCAGAAGGCTTACCTAGACATAGGTTAGAGGGTATTACTGGTCAGTCTTCACCCGTTGTAACTGATAGGCAGCTTAATCTGCATACACTTTACAACTAAAATGATTTCATACTAAATTTCGGCAATGCACTCTCAATTCTTGAAAAATTATTCGACGGGAACATCTCCGATATTCCTCCCAAGAATTTATATAGGCGACTTGGGCTACTTGTTCACCTGATCTCCAGTGAATCTAGTGATATACAAAAGCATGCTTACAACTGCTCCTTGAAAAATGTTCCTCGATCTGCTCGGCTAGTTGATGTTGCGACTAATTTCGTGTGTTAGTGTGCTTTCAACTACAAAATAGCCGACACAAAACGCTTGTTCTCCCATAGCAAGAATCCGCCCCTCCTAGTCAAATTATTTTCATCAATCGAGGTCGACTCAATATTTGCCTATCAAGATCGCGTCTCTACGCATCTGGAAAGGGCAAAATTTGCCCTTATCATGATCACACTCCCACGGAGCGTAGAATCGGAGCCCTCTTCTCACGTAAACCCACTGCTTCTCAGTCTAATGCTCACCAACTCGGTCATAATACAAGGGGCCGCGAGGGTTCATTTGATCCTACTCATGTGACATGTGACTCAGTCCATCCCTTGCTCTTCCGTCTCCCCCTCACTCGGGCCACTTGACACATTCGCTTGCCCCCATATTGGCGGCAGCAGCAGCAGCAGCGGCAGCAGCAGCCCTAGTTGTCGTTTCTTATCCTCCAGAGAACTCTCCTAGGACGCATGAGAATCCGTCTAGATCGGCTAGACTGATAACTCCCCCACTTCGACAGGATGCTGCAAGCTCTACAAGTAAGTCCTCTTGGACCTACCAGGCCTTTACACCTCAGCTCCTCTACACACTCCGCAGCTCAAATTATATCCCCAAATAATTCTCTGTCCTGCGTACCGGTTACTTATCAAAGTCCTACTATATATCCAGCAAATAGTTCAGAGTCAGTTACTCTGAGTCATTTATCCCCCAACTTAGTTTAGGCTTCCCACCACTGAAGGCCAACTGTCCTCAGGTAAGTCAACCTAACTCCTTTAACTCCCAACCTAGACCTGGCTTCCCACCCCTTTGTTCTTATAACTGCCTACGCTCCCCCACCAGCATCTACCTTCCTTCTAGGCTCCCTCCTCTTCCTCCTCCTCCTCCTCCTCCTCCTCCTCCTCCTCCTCCTCCTCCTCATCATCATCATCATCATCATCATCATCATCATCTTCCCCCTTTTCCACAATTTCACTATCAACAAGCCTATCTCTGTTCTAACTTTCCTAGCATTCAAATGCTCGAAATCTATATCCCCACATCCTTTAGGTCTCATGCCCAACCTTTTCTTGTTGAATCCCCGTACGCTAATAACTCTGGACTAACTTGCATTGATTTTCCAAACATCATTAATTCACAGCTTACATATCCGCCTCCAAATTATTTTTCTTTAATACCGTCGACAATAGTCTTGCTTTTCGAAACACATTGGATATTACATTCTTGAATGCCAGGTCTGTTTTAAATAAGATGGCCCAAATCAGAGCCATTGCTCTTGAAATAACGCCAAGACCGCATGACTAGGCGTGGGGCTGGCTGTCTTGCTTATCTTAGATCTCACAAAGGCACACTTCCTATTACCTGGATGTCTCCTAATTCACGGGAGACTTCTGATTTGCATCTGTATCTACAATCCCCCAAATTCTTCAGCCAGTGATGATTCACAACTCTGTGAAAATTTCAAATTAATTTCGGAAGCTGCTTCCGATGTTAAAATAATCACTGGAGATTTCAGCCTTCCTGAAATGGACTGGGTTTCCAATATCTGTCCACCTAGCTTCCAGCCCTTCCAAGATATTGTCAATTTTTCTAACTGGTCCCAGCTGGTGCGCTCTCCAACAAGAGATAATCACATTTTAGATTAAACCTTCACCAATGACAATGCCCGTATTTTTGTCCCTTTCCAACAGGACCTCTTTGATAGTAATCCCTTAGCAATTCATTGTTGCTTACCGCTTGCATTTCCAAACAAGACCAGCACGGGTTGGACTTACCTAAACTATAATTGCGTAAATAACGACTTAAGGTCATTGGATTTTTGTGGCTTTCTCTCCTGCAGCGATGTAACCATTCTTCGTGATGTCGTGTTTAATGTTTCAACGGACATCCGCGTAGATATCTCAAGCCTGATTCTGCAGATTCCCTTGCTCCTCAGTTTCTTCACAACAGACTAAATGTTAAGACGGCGGCTGTGTGACCTATCCACTTGTTCCTTATCCGTTCAACTTATAACCACATATATTTTTGAAATTGCTTCAAGGATGCGCCAAGCGCGCGTCAGGCAAAGAGAATCACTTGCCCTCAGTGATTCGAACCCTGGCAAATCCGTCGCTAACATCTTCCGTCATCGGTCGTCCTCTAAGCGTGGTCACGAACTTCCACCTCTGCTAAACGATAACAAAATCTTCCTCATCGATGACACTGACAAGGCGGAGTTGTTAAGTGCTTTCTTTGCAAAGCACCTTACAGCTGACTCCGAACCAGTCTCTTTCTTTCGTTCACTTTCAGATATGACACTGAGTACAATCGATGTCTCCTCAGATCTCATTAAGAAACACATAAGTCGTTTTAAAATCTCACAGCGCTCAGGAACGGGCGGGATTCCAAATTCGATTATTAAACAAGCATTCAACCTTCTCATCTTGCTTGTCATTTATTCTCGGTTAATATTTTAAAAGGATTCTTTCCTGAAACATAGAAAACTTAAATCATCATTCCCATCTTTAAGCGTGGATCTCAGTCCGATGTTAAAAACTATCGAGGCCCGCACAAAACACCGTCTCTAGCAAAGCTTCTTGAAAGAATAATTTTCAATGAAATTCTTGACTTCTGTCTAGCTACTCGGTCTCAGTCAGTCAGTCAGCCAGTGTATTTGAGGGAAATAGGCTTACGCCTTTGAACTCCCTATTTGTACATAAAAAATCGATAAACAAGCAAAAATGTGGAGAAATTACAACATTAAAAGGATGCATACATTGATTCACATATGTCACTAGTCACATGGCTAAAAAGTCGCATAGTCCGCTTGTTGCTGCAGCACATATCTGTCAAGGCGACATTTAAATGTCTCCACAGATTGAGACATAACAACCGTCTCGGGCAGGTTATTCCACGGTTCCACGACACGGTTGGAGAAGAAATATTTTCTCACATTCAGTCTACCCTGTGGCACACGTAGCTTGAAGGGATGTCCCCGGAGGTGAGTTGTAGTGGCGAGTTGGAAAAAGTTATCGCGCCGAAGGGCACAATCCAAGCCGCGCACGATACGGAAAGTTTGTATAAAGTCTCCGCGCAACTGCCTATAACTCAGAGGATAGAGCTTAAGGTTAGTTAAGCGGATCTCCTATGGCAGTGAACTTTGACCTCTTATTAATTTTGTTTCTCGTCTCTGCACCCTTTCGAGCAGATCGTAATCCTGATGCGTCCACGGTCTCTAGGCCTGAATTGCATATTCGAGATGGGGCCTTATAAACGTGCCGAAGACTTTGGTGAAGCAGTCTTCATCGAAAACTACGAATGCACGCTTGATGGCATATAGCATTGAGGTTGCAGTCCTGGCCGCCTTACAGCATTGTGCAGAAGGCTTTAGGCTGTCTGCAACCCAAACTCCGAGATCTTTCTGAGTTTCTGCTTCTCGGCGTGGCATTCCGTTCAGATGGTATTGCCGCGTACTAGGGGCCTGATTTCAGAGGCGCAGGATGGTACATTCCTTCAAACTGAAGGACATGAGCCATCTGCGGGACCACTCGTCCAATCGACAAAGATTTTCTTGGAAGTTGGTCTCATCGGCAGCATTCTGGATGACTTTCCAGATTTTTATGTCGTCCGCAAACTTGGCACAATCACAGTCCAACCCATCTACACAATCATTGATGAACAAGAGAAAGAGGGTTGGTCCGAGCACCGAGCCTTGTGGGACCCCACTCTCTAGGAATGTGCACCTCGATTGCTGTTGTTCTATGCAGACAATTTGGGAGCGGCCGACAAGGAAATTTTCGATCCATTTAAGAAGTTTGCCACCGATGCCCATAATTCTCAACTTGTGTAGGAGACGCTGGTGCGGAACACTGTCAAACGCCTTCCGAAAATAAATATAGGCAACATTCACGGTGTGTTTTGCGTCCAGTGCTCGTGTCCAACTTTGCATTGTGTATAGCAAGTTTGTAACACATGATCTTCCCATACGGAAACCATATTGCGTATTGGACAAGAGGTTGTGGGTTTCCAAGTAAGCCACCAACTCCTTTTTGATGATATTCTCCATCACTTTGCAGCAGATTGATGTCAGACTGACGGGTCAGTAGTTTGTCGCCTGAGCACGACTGCCGCTTTTGTAAAGGGGTGTAATGTAGGCCGTCTTCCAGTTTGTGGGAAGAATTCTAACATCAAACGATTTCTGGCACAGAAAGGATAGTGGCTTGGCCAGCTGTTAGGCAAGCTCAAAAAGCAGCTTTGCTGGGATCTCGTCCGAACCGGGAGATTTACATTCCTTCAAGCTTTTCAGTTCTTCCAAAATCGATTCTTCTCGAAACACAATATTTTTGATAGTGGGATCTCTCATGTTCTCAGAATTAGATGGGGTAAAGTCTGCTTCTCTTGTGAAAACGGATCTCTCAGACCTAAACAGCATGGATTTTTACCTGAGCGATCCTGCAAAACTTGCCACCTGGCATTTCTTAATCTAATCACTTCTCTTCGTAATGAGCAGCAGTCAGTGGCGGTTATCTACTTTGATATTAGCAAGGCCTTCGACAAGTTGCCCTATAGACGTCTTTTAGAAAAATTGGAAGCTCTCGGCATCCGGCCGCCTCCACTCGACTTCATCAGGTCCTGTCTATCAAACTGATATCAGAAAGTCATGGTCGGTAGTAGTTACTCGACACATCACTCGATCACGAGTGGCGTACTTTATGACACGGTTCTGGGTCCGCTACTCTTCCTTCTTTACATCAATGACATTTCGACTAAACTCAGAAGTGCGTAAGCTTGTATTTATTCCGATAAGCTAAATTGTGTTAACTGATACTCTAAGGACACCGCAAACGTTTGTGTTGAAAAAATGAATTCCGATTTACCAGGCTTAAGCAGATGGAGTTTTCATCACTCAGTGCAGTTTCATTTCTTATGGCCCTGTCAAACTTCCTGGTCGCATAATTTTTTAGAATAAGTCACTCCCAGAATTCTTCACCATAAATGACCTACGTTTAAGTTATACAGTTAAACCTGCTTTATCACCCCATGCAGATAGAAGCTCTTCCAAAGCCGCACAGATACATGGGTTCGTATCGCATGATTTTTTCCTTCCGCAAATAAAACTAAGACTTTATTAAATGCTTGTTTTACCAGTCCTCGAATACTGCTGTCCTATCTTTGGTTTAATGAACGCCTGTGACCGTAATAAAATCGAAGATGTTCTGAAGGTTTTCACTCGGAAACTGTTCTCTCAAGTCGCATGCGGTACTTCTTATACTCAGAGATGCCAGCTGGCGAACATTGAGTTTTCGTTGGTTAGAAGACTCGAAGCTAGCCTTTGCTTCCTTTTTCGCATTAACTCTAGCCGCAGTCTTCGGTTCCTTGACCCTCTCACTTCGAGACATCGATCTTATGCCACGCGCAACTCCACCATGGTGATTCCTCCGCCTCTTTGCACTACATCTAAGCGCTCGTTCTTTTCTGCTTCCAAATATGTCTTCCTTTGAAATAATCTTGCACCATAAATTAAGTCATCGCCTGAGTTATCGGTTTTCAAATCGAAATTACGTAGACACATTAGCCTGAGAGTATAAAGGCACTTTCAACCGTCTCTTGAGTTTGAGAAGAGTCCTCCTGGGATGTAGTGGTAGAGCAAGTGGAAACCCTCACTTAAATCTTTACAACACCCTGTTTTAAATTAGTTACTAAGGCCACTGATATCAATTCTCTCCATAGCGACGCATTTGGCGGTTCTTGACGTCATCTCCCTCAGTTCGACCTCAAGCGGTCTGTTGACGCTCATGACGGCACCCTCAGTATTTGCCGTCTACTAGTAGTTCGGTCGATTCCCCCTTGCCCACTCCTCGGCTGGGCTCGAAGCGGGTTGTGAGCGACCAAGTCTGGATTCCTCCTGTCTGGCCACTTTGACGCGAATAGACTCCACCGGGGTATCAATTCGGCCCTGACAACGTCCGAGTATAATCCGTTGTACACCGCCACATGCAGGCCAGTCCTGCCAGCATTTTTGTTTTATTATGAGGGACAGCTTTTTTCCCCTGCAAAGTTCATCCAATCATTTTTTAAATCTTGAATGGAATGGTTTCACTGCTCGTTCATCATTTTTCATAACGGACTACTAATTCAATAACTGTGAATTGTATATTGTACAGATTCGGCCTACCTCATTTAAAATTCACATGAAAATTTATTTTTAATCGCTTTGATGGGACCCCGACGGGTCTTTAATAAAAATTATTTATTAACTTATTTAAGAAATATGAGCTTCCTAAACTCTCACTGGAAACGCATATGCTTCTATAATTGCACATCATCTCCCCCCAAATGCACCTGCATGGCATATGAATAAGCTAAGCCACTCTAATATCTCAAGATAACGGGATGCGCCCCAAGCGAGATCTGTTTTAGTGAGAAAACCGTCAAAAAGCTGACAACCAACTTTCCAACGCCACCTGCTACGAGATTGACAAAATCCCGCCATGCATTCTGAAGCATATGATATATGTTCTAATACTCCTATCTAAACTATTCGTCCTTCTCCAATCAAGTGCAACCCTTCCAGACGTTTGGAAATACTCGAAAATTGCACCTATCTTTAAAAACCGAAGCCAATCTGATACTGAAGCTACTGCAGTGTCCATAGAACAACGACAGTAGCTAAGCTCCTGGAAAAATAATTCATAACCAATTGCTAAACCGTCTAATAAACGCTAACCCAATTCCCCAATTCCCCAAATTCCAAAAAGTCGTGTCGGTTTTGTCAACTCCTTTTCTTGAATTCGTTTTCAGCAATAGACGTGATGGAAGTACGGTAGCTACAACATACTTCGATGTATAGAAGACCATTGACAAAGTTCCCGTAAAAAAACTACTAAAAATCTAATAAGTCATGAAATTAGGCCCCCTTCTCGATTTTCTCAAATCCTATCTTTAAAACCGAGAGGAAGTGGTATAGATTCGAAATGTGGTCTCAGAGCCATCCCATATTGCCAGTGGAGTACTTCAGGGCACTATCATAGGTCCCATTCTATTCCGCATATATATTCACGACTCATCGTCCAAATCAACCCCAGCTAAAACGTTTTTTGTATGCAGAAGATCTAAAAATCGCATATACGTATAACGAGCATACAGTAGCCAATATGCATAGGACAATCGGAAACTATGTTAAAAAACTTAGAGAATGAAGTAGTCGATGGCAAATAAGCCTGCCAACACATGGCTCCAGGCATGCGGATGTGGCCAGGCGTGGCTGGACGTGGCCATGGCCACGCCATATTTTGAGAAAGCTCAAGAGACATTTCAGCCTCTTAAACGAAATTTTTTTGTTTACATGTTCCACATTTACCTAAATATGCACTAATTTAGCCAAAGATGTCTTGAGTCCTCACTTCTTGGGGGATGATAATGTGCCCTCCTAAGCCGATAAGGGCGCTTTCGTTTAAGTGGGCCACTTGCACGCCATTTTATCTGCTGCTCACTCGGACGCTCGCGCCGAAGTGATACGTCCTTCAGTGTCGATCCCTTGTCTATCGCGCCTTTATGGTCTTGCTTACGTCATTACTAATATATTTTATGTTATGTAGGTAGGTTTATTAACTTAATAGCAATTATAATCTCACAGTCAGCGTTTCGAGTGCAGTTTAACTTTTTGCGTTGTTTTATACCTATCAATGAAAGCAATCATGAAACGCAAGAATTATGGTTTTCATTGGAGCACAATTTACGAGCAGATTGCGCGTGAGAAAAAGGCATATTATGCGCAGATGGGTGATCCCTCCGCCCCCTCTTGGTCGTCGGTGTTAGACCAACCACCGGAATTATATATGTCCGAACTAATCCCAGAAGTCTATCCTGGTAGTCATTTTACTGTGTTACTTACTAGCAAGTTTAGAACCTGTAGACATGAGCGAGAACGCGGTCGCAGGTAAATGCTTTCTGGCGGATTTACGGGGATTCTGCATGGAAGCCCAAATGCCACTGTCCACAACAAAGAATGCTGCAGCCCTACAACCCAGAAGTGCACAAAAAACCCAAGGACGCTATTGCGAACGCCCTGAACCTGCATAAGTAAGCTCCTGAACAAGGGCAGCTATGTCCCTTTAGGTCTTGAGCGCGGTCTGCTGGATCAGCTGTACAGTCTACCGTTCTTGAGATGCACATCAAACTGCATATTTACGGAATGAAGATCTTCAAGGTGTCTAGGTAGTGCTTATGGCCACTTTGTTGCTGTTGATATCCCTACCTTGTGTAGTACCTCCGATATTATTTCCATTGTCCATTGTCTACTTCAGCTGTATGATGACGTGGCTCGGTTTTGAGTGCTGGATAATTTTCCGGCATTTCCTTTTGAGGTCTTTTTACAAAGTGTCCGTACCAGTATAAAGGGGTCAATTAACGTATCCGCGCAGGGCTTCAAGTGCTTTTCTGAACGACGCTTCCCTGACTTATCAACATGGCAAGGCCTTTGGACGATGACGAGGGAGTGACATGGACATTTATACTGTCTCGCGGATCCATTGCAATTTTCAATAAACAGTTTGTTCTGTCAACTAAACAGCCCGATAATGTGGTATTTATCGGAAATGGACCGTGCCTACTGACATCAGTGTCGGCTACCGGCATAACGTACCGTCCGTTCCTTGACCGTGAGGACTTTTTCACAACATCTCTTCTCTCGTCCTCCTTGTACATGTTTAAAGCTTCCCGTTTATAAGGCATTCCTTCAAAAGCTGCCCTCTGAGATATCATTTGTAAATATGTTCCACTTGATTTTGATGGTCGTTTTTTTCTGATTCCCTTACTGCACACTGTGCGTACTCTGTGACTCTCGTTTGCATTGTTTAGGTGAGGATATAAATTTCCCTGTAGACGTATTTGTTTGGGAAGTTCATAAGCGACAAGGCTATGGCCGTGGTAACTGCAGCCTGGTTTTACGACGTTGGCAGCGTTATGTGGCCTAAGAACAACAAATAGCGGGCTGTCCTGCTGAATAATATCAGGCAGCCACCAGATGACACCCAGGTGTAATCTGTGAGGTTACTAAAAAGTTATCTGACGCTGCTGAAGGCCAGGCAGCTTGTTCGAAAAGCAGAACTGTAGGACAGTCTTTCTAGCTCCGAGCCAGGCGCATTAGGCAGGGGCATGAGGAAAATGAACATGTTCCATACCGTTAATATTTCTTTGCACATATGTCCGCAGGCCGATGTCGGATTCTGACGATGATGACAAACTGCTGTGTCGTCCGAGGCGGCCACTCGTTTGGCCAACACCATCACGAAAACTACAGTAAGCATGATTATCGTTTATTATCCGTACACCAAAAACGGACGAACAGTGCTTCGAGTCTTCTACCAGTCGAATTAACCTACGCTGTCGACTTCGCATCAGTAATTGAGTTTAATAAATTATAACCGAAGGCTGCCTAGGGAAATTCCGGCATCTGCGCCAGTTCCTGCTACCCAACCTGCATGAAGCCAGAGGCGCAGACTGACATGATTGACGTGAACGTTCGGTTAGCTTCCCTCGAGTAAGGCTGCTGAGAATCTATTAGAAAAAAGTCAACTTCCTAGCCGAGCAAATGGTCACCCTCAACAATAGTGTGAGATATCTTCAGGCAACAATAACGTATGCTATCAGTGCATTAGAGAGAGGCGCCACTGTTGCCGACGTCGGGCCATTTCGTCTGCATTTGCCATTGTGCACAGCCGAAGCCTACGCAGGTTTCGTTCGTCGGCTAATAGCTGAGACGGGTTTGGCAGACAAAGCAGTATGTGTATATTTGTTTAACCGTTTTCAGCTCAAAATGCTGGCCGTGGTGGGAGGGCGAAATGAGAATGACTTTATCAAAAATCTCCTGACTGTTCTATTTGGTCCACGGCTTTGTTGCACCTTTTGCTGGAGGAGCTGATCCAGGGAAAAGCGGTCGTTCATAGCCTGTCAGTTGTTAAGCATCCTCAAGCGTAGGTCTACTCTTTGCTTATTGACACATACAAAAACATTGGCTAAAACCGCCATTTTAGCACCCATAACGGGGAGGTAGTTCGGCAGACGGGTATCATTTAGTTCCATGGGTCGAAGGGCCGGTATGGAGGACGATCAAATGTCAGGTGCAACATTCATAGGGTACATAATTTTGCTTTGAAGTACTGCCCAAATATGTTCAGTTTCAAGGAATCCCCACCGATGACTTCCCATGTCCACAACTTTCCACTCCGAAGCACTTGTAAGTTAACTGAAAAGGACTGATGCTAACACACTATGCTATTTTCCTCTATGCAATTATTATAATAATAGTATGTATACGTACCATTATTATAATTATTGCAAAGTACATTGCTAAATTACCGGATGAGGTATACTTGAGGTCTGAGGTTCGCAGAAGTAG